CCTACCTAGAAGGAGAACCAGAAAAAGCAATAGGAGCAGGAACAGTTGCAAACAAGAAGGGAAAGAAGCAGCAGGGGATCGTTTTTCAGAAATCGGGGTGCCCCTGAGCTGCCAGGTGCCTCAGAGAACACAGGGAGGTAAAGACTGAAAAGTACACTTCCGATTTAGGGATCAGAGGGCAACTGGCATCTTCATGGGAACTCTTTCAGCAGTGCAGTGGGGTCAGAGCCATACTGCCCATGGATTGAAGAGTAAGGAAGATAAAGATGGTAAGTCAAGACAGCCTTTTGCAAAGCCTGAAATGGAAAGAAGCAGTAGAAAAATGGTAGGTAAGCATATTCTGAGTATGATTATGGGTTGAGGGGAAGGAGGGAGAGGTTAAAGATACAGGAGAGAGGACGAGAGTCCCAGGGAAGAGAGAGAGTGCAGATGGACAGAATTAGCTTTCAGCCAGAGGAAGAATGTCTCTGACATTGGAGGGAAAGAGGTTAGGAAGGGTGCAATACAGAAGATGTGTGAGTATAGGGATGGGAAGCTGAAGGAGCTTGGCCCAGAAGGCTTCTGTTTTCTCTATTGTATGGGAGTCAGGGCTAGCTATGGAAAATAGAAGGGTTTGAAGTGAAATGGAAGGTTTAAGAAAGTGGTGAAAGTTCTGAATAACCAATGTGAGATACTAGAGGGACAAGTTAGTCAAGTGTCATTGGAGACCTTAAAAAAAAAAAGCCAAACCAATTGCCTTCAAGTCAATTCTGACTGACTCATGATGATCCCATGTGTTGCAGAGTAGCACTGCACTCCATAGGGTTTTCAAGGCTATGACCTTTCGGAAGCTGTGATCTTTCGGAAGCAGATCACCAGAACTTACTTCTGGGTAGGTTGCAATCACCAGTCTTTTGATTAGTAGTTGAGCACTTAACCATTTGTGCCACTCAGGGACTCCATTGAAGACCTAGCGAAGTTTAAAAACCACAGTTGTGTAGTGATGTTCAGCTATAATTTCGCAAGATATATATAGATATGTAAATGTAGATACTTATGAAAAAAAGCAGAGATTGCTGGTTGGGTAGAGTAGAAGGACAAGACGGGGAGGGAGTTGAGGGTGCTAAAAGAATGTGATTGTAGTAATGGACCAGGTGTTTAGTCTGTAGAGGAAAGGAACTGAAACCAGCAGAGAGCTAAGAGATGGGGAGAAAGAAAAGAGAAAGGTCAAAAGACTGGAGGCTCAATTCAAAGAGGGCCTCTGAGAATGGGAGAACTGGTGCACTGTCACCAGAGAGTGTCATGTGGGAGTTGAAGACTTCAAAGGGGAAGCAATTATAGGAGATGATAAGTTGTAGGGTATGGCCAGTGATACGGAATACAAAGTGAGATGGAGATCACTGGAATTGGATCAAGCACTTTCAAGGCTAGTGTATTGGGCATTGAGGGCCCCACGAAGGTGGTGGGAGTTGAGAAGAAGAGTAAGTTGAGGCCCAGGAACCAAATCTTCAGTGAATGTGTGGAAGTGACCCTGAAGCTAATAGATGAAGATCACAGAGAAGGGTAAAGAGTTGTATGTCGTTGTTAGTTGCTGTCAAGTTGATTCCAACTCATAGTGGCCCCACGTGTGCACAGCAGAACTGGGCTGTATAGGGTTTTCAAGGCTGTGACCTTTCAGAAGCAGATCGCCAGGCCTGTCTTCTGAGGTGCCTCTGGGTGGGTTTGAACTGCCAACCTTTTGGCTAGTAGTCAAGTGTTTAACCATTTGCCCCACCCAGCTGCCTAAAGAGGTGTATAGCAAAATCCGTTTCAAAACGACAGGGAGACTTTCCCCTATGAAGGGTGAAAGAGCAGTCAGTGTTGTGGAAGAAAAGGTAAGGAGCTAGGGATACTGATGTCAACTTCTGAGAAAATGATCAGAGGCTTCACTCAGCGGGGCATCCTTAGGGACTCTCAGAAGTCCATTCCAACTCATAGCAACCGTATAGGACAGAGTAGAACTGCCCCATAGCAGCGCTCCAAGGAGTGGCTGGTGGATCCGAACTGCCGACCTTTTGGTTAGCAGCCCAACGTTTAACCACTGTGCCACCAGGGCTCCAGGGGAGACCCAGGTCTCCATAAAGGCCAAAATAAGGAGGAAACACCTTGTAAAAAGGCTGGAGAGAGAGATAGATGGGTTTGTCAATGAAACAAGCCTTCTAGAGCGCCCAGTGGAAAGGATGTTTGTGAAATAGGTGATCTCGACAGTAATACTTACTACCTGCCACGTACGTACACAAGGCTTTCCTTCCACATTTCAGTACTTTATTTCCTCTTTAGGAAGCCATTGTTATGATCTCCTTCTAATGAGGAACCCAAGGCTCAGAGATGTGAAGTGTCTTCTCTAAATGTACATGAGTTAATATGAGTGGCAAAGCAAGGACTTCAATTCAAAATGTCTGTCTCCAAACTCTTCTCCATGGGATACAGAGCCTCATCTAGTAATATTTTTCTCTCATTCTACAAGGCTAACAGATGAAAGATATTTTGTAAGTAAAAAGGGATTATTATGATAACTACTGTATTATTAAAACAAAATGGAAAAAAATAGAAAAACAAATTTAATAACAAGGGTGCAGAGTGGCTGAATTATGTGGGATAAGAGTGTGTCCTCATTAAACAAGTAGTTATTCATGGCCTATTATATACAAAAGGGGTCCCTGGCTGTTGCAAATGGTTAAGCTCTCGACTACTAGCTGAAAGGTTGGCCGTTTGAACCCTCCCAGAGGCACCTAGAAACAAAGGCCTTATGATCTTCCGAAAGGGCACAGCCTTCAAAACTCTATGGAGTAGTTCTACTCCGCACACATGGGGTTGCCGTGAGTCATAATCGACTCAATGACAGCTAACAACTGTATACAAAGCATTGTGCTGGACCCTCCAGAGGATCAAAAAGAAATGAAAGGGAAGTCCCTCATTAAGTTGATTACTTATATTCTTTTATAATCTTTTATTTTGATGAATTTTACCTTTCAGAACAGTTGTAAAGGTGTCTATCCCCTGGGACACACAGCCTTCACCGTGGTTTTAGGTGCTCCTGCAGATAAAGCAAAAGTAAGGCCGAATGGGATGGGCCCCCCCTCTTCTGTAGGACGGGCCAGCACTGTATGCCGTTTGCAGATGAGGAAGTCTGAAAGTCCAAAAGCACAAGTAACAAGTCAATGTTGTTCACCTGGGAGATGATGGCGTTAGAACTCCCATCGTAGTCTTCTGACTCAAATCAGGGCTTTTTCCAATCATACTTGGGACATGAGTTGGGGGCTGACTCGACAGCAGCTAACAACAACAAGAGAAGTTCCAGTGACCTGTGTAAGGAAAAGGAAATATCCTTTTCTGGAAAGTGTCAACTACTTTCAAGTTCTCGCTGACTTAAAAAATCCTAGAAAGACATTGGTCCTAACACATCTCCTGACTCTAAAAACAAGTTGGGCTTGTTAAACAGAAGTCCTGTACCAGAATTAATGTAAATACAAGTCAGGCTGTAAAACTGGACCTCAGGGAATTCCCCACCTCCTCACACAGGCTACTGGAGCTTTCCTTGTTTTTGTTAGCTGCTGTCGTCGGCCCCCAACGCATGGTGACTTCATGCACAATGGAACCAAACACTTCTGGTCCTGTGCCATCCCTATGATAGGTTTCAGATTGCACCATTGTGATCCATAGGGTTTTTGTTGACTGATTTTCAGAAGTAGATCAATAGGCCTTTCTTCCTAGTCCATCTTAGTGTGGAAGTTCCACTGAAACCCTGTTCAACATCACAGCAACAAGCAAGTTTCCACAGATAGAGGAGTGGTGGCTGTGCATGAGATGCATTGGCCAGGAATCAAACCTGGGTCTTCTGCATAGAAGGTGAGAATTCAACCACTGAACCAGTAATGCTTCTCAAAACAGTGGTGGTGGTGGTGGCAGGGGCTGGGGGAAGAATGAGGGGTGTTCTTCACCAGCAGATTGCTGGAGACCGTACTTGGGAAATATGTTTATGAACTCCCTGCTCTGAAGAGGTAGTTGTTCACTTAGCCAGTTTTTTTGGTTTGTTTTGTATTTTATTATGGAAAAAGTTAAACATACAGAAAAGTAGACATAGTAATATAACTAACCACCCAACTTCAACAATTTTCAGCTCATGGCCAGGCTTGATTCATCTGTATCCTCACCCATTTCCCCTCATCCTGTATTAATTTGATGCAAATTCCAGACATTGTACCATTTCATTGGTAAATATTTCAGTATGACTCACTGAAAGAACTTTTTTAAAAAAAAAACACGATACCAAGTGATGCCTTAATTTCATCAACTCTCCAGTGTCCAAATTTCCAATTCTTAACAAACGTCATACTTTTTTTTTTTTTGCAATTTGTTTGCTTGAATTAGGATCCAAATAAAGTCTACACGTTACCATGGGTTATGTCTCTTAAGTGTTTTTTAATCTATAATTCCCCCTCCATCTTTCTCTGTTCTTTGCCATTTAATTGGAGAAGCAAGGTCGTTTGTCTTGCGGTTGGTTTCTCAGAGTCTGGATTCTGCTGGCTGCATTCCGTGGTGTCTTTTAACACCTTCCTCCGTCCTGTGTATCCCTGTAAACTGGTAGTTGGACTTAGAGGCCTTGAGCCAGTTTTGATTGGGTTCATAAGGAGGCTAAAGCTATCCATTTCCGTGGGAGCCTGGCCCAGTCGGACCTGAACAGCCGAGGCTAAGCCTCCAGTCAAGCTGCTTAAAGGTAATCATAAAATGAGAGACTAAGTAGGGCTGTGGCAGAGAAGCCGCCGTCCATACGCCTAGAACAGGGCTCAGGCACCTCCAAAACTGGGGAAGGAGGTGGGACAAGACCACCCGGGGAAAGCCTTTGTCACTTTCTATGGGGACAATAAAGTTATCGAAATCGACGGCAAGGGCAGCTGAGGCCTTCCAGCCGGAAGTGACACACGCGGCCAACGGAGGAGTTGCCATAGAGGCAGGGAGACGGATAGAGGGTCCGCTCTCAGGTCGCTCCGACTTCCGGCCATCTCCTTGGACGACCGGTTGGAAAGAGTCCGGAGCTGGCAGCACCCGCGGGGCTCTCCGGGGACCGGGACTGCGGCGGCGGCCCTGCGGGCGTGATGTTCCGGGGTCTAAGCAGTTGGTTTGGCCTGGAGCAGCCGGCGGCGGACGGCGCGCCGTCCGAGGGAGACAGGCAGCCCGAGGGAAACGCTCCACCCAAGCAGCGCTCCGAGGTGGTGGCGGAGTCCTCTGAGGATGAGCCGCAGCAAACGGGGGACCAGGAGCTCCTTCTCGACCAGGCCAAAGGCCTAGGCAGTGAGTCTCCCCCGGAGTCCCGGGATCGGAGAGTGCGGGGGAGTGCCCGCCCGACGCCCCTGGGGGACTGGCCGGACCAGCTAGCGGTTGGGGAGTAGGGGAAAGGAGAGGGTGTGTGTCGGTCGGTCCTCGCCGGTACGGGTGGGATCGTTGAGGACTTGAAGGCTGAGGCTTTATGTAGCAGTCAAGCCTTGTTCTTGAAGTTCCTGGTGATATGTCAGTCTTTGCAAAGTTTGTAAACATTGGGAGCAGGACTGCAGTGAAGTGGTATGGCCCGACGTCTGCAGGTTGAACAGGGAATCTTTTTTGTTTAATTCGCCAGCTTCTCCCTCTACCCCCGCCCTCCGCTCCCAGGACGGGGAATGTTGACGGGCCAGAGTTGGTTGCAAAGGGTCTTTGCTTTTAGGGAAGAATGTGCTGTCCGAAGTATATTGACAGAGTTACTGAATGTCACCGTCATGCTAATCTCTTTTTTAGGAGCAATGAGACCTTTTCCCTTAAGGTGGGAACCAAAAAAATAAAAAGACCAAACCCGCTGCCGTTCAGTCGATAGCGACTCTATGGGACAGGATAGAAGTGCCCCATAGGGTTTCTTTACGGAAGATTACAACTCAGCGTTTAACCACTGCGCCACCAGGGCTACTTTGAGGTGGGAAAAAAAAAAAACCTGTTGCCGTGGGAGAGGAGCTGGTGCAGCCGGTTAAGTGCTTGACTACTAGCCTAAAGGTTGGCAGTTTGAACCCACCCAGAGGCACCTGCAAAGACAGGTCTGGTGCTCTGCTTCTGAATGGTCACAGCCTTGAAAACCCTATGGAGCAGTTCTACTCTGCACACGTGGGGTCACCATGAGTCAGAATCAACTGGACTGGCAACTAACAACAACAATGTGTAGGTTGCAGTACTAGGAGTTTTATGAACAGTTTCTCGTTTCATCTGTTAAACACCCCATTGAGTTGGGGGAACAGGCCCAGAGTTAGTGGCCCAAAGTTATACTGAGAGTAAGTGATAGAAGTGGAATTTGAATTTAGGTCTGTCTAATTTCAAAGCCCATGCTCCTTCTGAGTTAGGGAGGGGAGGAAGATAGTAGGCATGAAGAATAAACACCTGCTGTCTGAGTCAGTATCGACTTGACGGCAACGGGTTTGGTTTTTGGTAGTAATTCTGTTTCTGGAGAGATCTTCCCAGGCATAAGTAGTCAAAGTGTCTTTGAGGAGATGGGCCCTAACCGAGACAGCACTACAAGCACTCCTGTGCAAAGACAGATATTAAATTCAGCAGGGGTTTTTAAGAATCTACTAAAAGGCAAGAGGGGTGGGAAGGGTGAGCCTGAGAGTATAGAAACACACAGTTGAAATAGAAAGGCCCTCCTGACATTCAGAAACTTCCTGTGGAGTAGAGGGACCAGGAAGCCAGATGTAATCTCATGTAATGACGGTATATAATCTCAGCCCAAGAGCCCCAAATACTGCACGGAGAAATAAAAACTTACTGCTGTGCAGTGAAATCACTACAGAGGGAATGCCTGTTTCCAGTGCAGAGAATTGGAAAGGAAAGAATTTGGAATATTCAGGAGATGGTGGTGGTGGTGTTAGTTGCTGTCCAGTCGATTCCAACTCCTGGCGACCCTATGTGTGCAGAGTAGAACTGCTCCATAGGGTTTTCAAGGCTGTGACCTTTTGGAAGCAGATTGCCAGGCCTGTCTTCCAGGATGCCTCTGGGTAAGTTTGAACTGTCAACCTTTCGACTAGTGGTCATCAACCTTTCATCTAGTAGTTGAGCACTTAATCATCTGCGCCACACAGGAACTCCTTAGGAGATGGTAAGGAGATGAATTTGACTGGAGCAGAGAGGCTAGGTTAGCTGGTTGAGATAAATAAAAGTGGGACCAAGCTAGGAAATGCAGGGTATGGCTGTTTATTCCCTTTCATGGAAACCAGTCCTTTTCACTTATCAGCAGGAGCTTCTTAAAACTTGTTAGTTGCCCTCAAGTTGGCTCCCACTCATAGCGACCCCATGTATAACAGAACGAAACACTGTCCCGTTGTCTTGGTTATCTGGTGCTGCTATAACAGAAATACCACAAGTGGATGGCTTTAACAAAGAAAAATTTATTTTCTCACAGTCTAGTAGGCTACAAGTCCAAATTCAGGGTGTCAGCTCCAGGGGAAGGCTTTCTCTCTCTTTCAGCTCTGGAAGAAGGTCCTTGCGATGCATCAGTCTTCCCTTGGTCTAGGAGTTTCTCCATGCAGGAATCTTAGGTCCAAAGGACACGCTGTGCTTCTGGCACTGCTTTCTTGGTTCTGTGAGGTCTCCTTGTCTCTCTGCTTGCTTCTCTTATATCTCAAAAGAGATTGACTTAAGACACTATCTAATCTTGTAGATCTCATCAATATAACTGCCATTAATCCATCTCATTACGTCATAGTGATAGGATTTATAACACATAGGGAAATCACATCAGATGACAAAATGGTAGACGATCATACAATACTGGGAATCATGACCCAGCCAAGTTGACAGACATTTTTGGGGGACACAATTCAATCCATGACACCTGTCCTGCATCATCTTCATGGTGGTTGGTATGCTGGAGTCCATTGTTGCAGCCACTGTGTATTCTGAGTGCCTTTCAACCTAGGGGGCTCATCCTCCAGCATTATATCGGATAGTATTCTTTTGGGAGCCATAAGGTTTTCATTGGCTAATTTGTGGAAGTAGATCGATCACCAGGCCTTTTTTCCTAGTCTGTCTTAGTCTGGAAGCTTCGCTGAAACCTGTTCACCGTGCGTGACCCTGCTGGCATTTAAAATACCAGTGGCATAGCGTCCAGCATCATAGCAACATACAAGCCACCACAGTACAACAGACTGATAGACGGGTGGTGGTCTTAAAAAACTTAACCCGTGGCCATCGAGTCGATTATGACTCATAGCTACCCTATAGGACAGAGCAGAACAGCCCCATAGGGTTTCCAAGGCTGTAATCTTTATGGAAGCAGGCTGCCACAACTTTCCCCTGTGGAGCAGCTGGTGAGTTCGAGCAGCCAAGCACTTAACCACTGTACCACGAGGACTCCTGTCTTAAAACTTAGTGAGAGCTTTATTGTCAGCTTGAAACCTCATGTATGTAGTACTTAGGAAAGGCCTCTGAATATTTTTTAATAAATGTGCTTTTGATATGGATCTCTGCTTTGGAGCTAATGCACTTGTGTTGTGTCTTTTAGAGTGCTGCCATCTCTATCTTTTCCTCACCAGACTCTATTCTGATATTTGGGGAGGCTAAGGTTAGATAGAAGCCCCTCCCACCCCACCCCCCATACACACACACTGTGGACTTAAAGTATCAGAATACACAAGAGCCCTTTTGTTTCTGAAATGTATGTGATTTTAGAAAGACCTAAAGGTTCTAGTTTGCACACAAACTTTCAGAGAGATGAGAGAGATGATCAGATTTTTTTTATTCTACCTAATGATCCTAAGGTATATTATCTTCAAAAAGACCAACCTATGTTTTGAAAACTGAAATTAAACATCTCTGAGCCTGACTCCCACTGAGTAGATTAGTTTTCTTAGTCTTTTAAAATCTATGTGGAATTTCCTGGGAGCCCCATTTGTTCTGCAAACATTTGCTGCGTACCTACCTTCAAGATTGGACCCTACACACTTCCTGGTCTGTGGTCACCTGTTTATAAATTTGGGCCACTAATCAGTTACAAGCGTTATACACCCAGGACTGCATTCCACTCCCTCACCCAAAAACCAACCCTTCTGATCCTCAGCCCTCCCTCCTATGATCACCTGCTTCAGAAGGAGGAACAGTTTATAGGGGAGTCATTTAAGAGCTCCTCCCTACCTGAAGGGCCTCCACCCCGAAGTAACTTCTCTTACTCAGCACGAAATGGTTGGTTTTTGTTTTTATTAAAGTTGGCCAAATTAGAGTTGTATCTGTACTCTTTCTTTAAAAACTACCTGTACTTCTGGGAGTGTTAAATATCTGAGTCATCCACACAGTTTAAATCAGTGGGAGGGTGGCCAAAGGTGAGTGTTGGCTATTTCAAAAATGTTCCCCAAACCAGTCCATGTCCAGGAATAGAGGAAGGGCTGCCTCTTCTTTCTTCTCCTTGGAAGAGTGCTGGGAGTATTGCAGTGGAACTGTGTTAATTAGGCCAACCTCCTTTTTTTTTCTGTGGAGAAAGTGCATTTCAAGTTACAGGTGCCTACCTGCAAACTAAGAGGGCTCCAAATGTGCGTTTGTACCTGGGAAAGTGTGTATGTGCTTTGAAGTAGAAGTAAAGTATCCAGTTGGGTCCCGATTACCACAGCTCTGATGACAAACCCAGGCTTCCCATGAGGAGGGCAATGCGAGTGGTCCAGAGCTTAGATCCCATGGCTCATGAGCAATACTTCAAAGAACTGGGGATTATAACTTGAGAGACTTAAGGACATTGCTCAGAATTCTGAAAGGTTTTTTTTTTTTTTTTTTTTTTAATAGGAAGTTGTTTTATGTTAGTTACAAGGACAGATCAAAGGCAAAGAGGTAGCAGTGACAAGGGTGGTGAAAAAAACTTTCTAATTAGAGATGGCTAATAGTAATAACTGGCTATCCTTCAAAGTCCTCTCCTCATCCCTGGAAGTGGGGCTGTCTGGATAGGAGGATGAATTAGGTAATCTCCCGGGTCCCTTGCAACACTGAATTCTAAAGTTGTATGAAATATAGTATCTTTGAAAAATTAGGCAGCCTCTTTATAAGAGTATTAATTTTCTAAGGCTTTACCACTATATGCTTATTGTTTTTCTGTTGTAGCAGTAAGCGTTAAGCTCTAGCTTTGTCTCTGTTTACTCTGACAAATGTATACTTTTTCTGGCCTTTGAGAGCCTTCTCACCTTCTTTTACCCTTGTAATTCCATTCAGTTGTGCAATTGTTCATCTGACATGAGGCAGTATGGGGTGGGGCATGAGCTGCGGATTTATCCTGTGTTTGGGTTCCCAGTACTTATGGTGCTGTCTTTATTGTTACATCATTTGCAAATTATAGAAAATTTGGCTACAAATTACAGAAAATCCAATGAACATAGGCTTAACGAGAGAGCACGTATTGTTTATATGTTGGGGGTCCCCAAGACCACCCCCGCTTTCTATGATTCACTAGGAGGACACTTAGGACTCAGCATATAGTCGTACTCATGGCTGTGATTTATTACAGTGAAAGGAGACAAAATACAATCAGCAAAGGGGAAGGTGCGTGGGGCGAAGTCTGGGGGAAACCAGGTACGAGCTTCCAGGGTCCTCTCCTGTGGAGTCATATAGGACACACCTGATTTTCCCGGCAATGAGTTGTGACAACCTGTGTGAAATGTTATCTACCAGGGAAGCTCATTAGAGACTCAGTGCCCAGGGTGTTTGGGAGGTGCTGGTCAAATAGGTACCCCCTGCATAGTCTATACGATATTTCAGACTCTCAGAAGGGAAGCAGGTGTTCCACATAAACCATGTTGTTTGCACAAACAGTTTGGACACAGTGAGCCACTCTTATCTCTCAAAGATGGGAACCCTCCCAAAATCTAAGTTCCCAGATGCCAGCCAAGGACCAGCCTAGGGCCAGCCTTGCAAGTGGGCCTTTCCAAGGAGAGCAAGTTCAGGCCTGCTGTGTTAACTCTTTTTGTGAAGTTTACAAGAAATCTGAGGATGGGAGGTTCCGGGGTTGGTTCCTCAGCTCAAAGATGTCATCAAGGAACCACCTCCCCACGCTTCCCTCCTCAGCTGGTCCCTCAGGCTCACAAGACAGTAACTGAAGTAGAAAGACAGGAAGGGGGCTCTGTCTTCCTACAGCTCCCTTTGTATTAGAAAAGAAAATAAGTCCCAGATGCCACCTTGCAGGCTCCCCCTTACGTCTTTAGCCAGAGCTGTGCCGCATGGCTTTTCTGAGCTTCAGAGGGCTTGAGGAATGCAAGCACCTGGCAGAGGATCCTGGCCACGGGGGTACTATTACCTTGGTTGGTGTGGGCTTATCATGATTCATTCTCTGGGGCTAGGCACATTGGCACCCAGACAAAACTGAGGTGGTCTTGGCAAGGAGGAAGGAGATGGGCTATTGGGTAGGCAGTCAACAGGGTTTGCCCCTATCATCATCATATAGGACAAATGATTTATCCTCTCTGAGCCTCAGCTTCCTTATCTGTAAACTGGGCAGATTACCATATTTTTTTTTCTCGCAAATAATGTGACCACGTAAATAACACACCCACACATATAACATGCATAGCATGCTTAAGAAAATAATGTTCCAGGGAGTTGCACAGTTGGAAAAAATGTATAATATGTGTGTTATTTGAGTGAAAATATGGTATACCTACCCTTCTTCCCAGGAAGCTTGTGACAATAAATTGACATAATGAAAATGAAGGTAAAATAACTACTTTAAATGTTAGCTAAGTCATATTCCTTCTCAAAAATTTTAATTTGACTTCTCCTTTGGTTGCTACTTCATTTCAGACCTGTCTTTGTTCCTGAGTTCCTGAAGTGGACATTGTACTCTTACTTCTGGTTAACTGTTATCAGATGTCTTAGTCTCAATTTTTCCTAACCACTTAGCAAAAGTATCTGTAACTTGGTGTTAGATACCTCTTTGAGAAATTAATAAGGCACTTCTCGTCTTTATCAGCCTCTTACCTGGAAATCTCTTGTTGTTCTCTCCCACTGGACCCGGGAATCTAGGCCGCTGGCCAGCTGCTCTTGGGAGACAGTTCTCCCTCCCTTCTCTGAGTGCCTCCTCCTTTGTTTAATGAGTAGTCTTCCTCCTCCTGTTGTCTTTGACACTTTTATTTTCTTGCTCAGGAATGGACATTCCTTGAGGGCTAGAACTGTGCTTTCTCTAATGTTCCATGTGTTCAGTGCACTCCACCCATGGAGTATTTACAATCTAGCTGGTACTTGGGATTATTATGATAAAATACGAGTTTTAAATAACAGTCCTTCCTCAGAATAAAAAAGACTAATCTAATTCAAAATGTATCCCTGAGAAAAATCTTAGTAAAGAGAACCCTATACTATTAGAACTTTAGATTTCTTTGTCTACCTGCAAAGAATATTTTTATGAAGAAGTACTGTGGTTGTTTACCAATTTTATCACATCACTCTGGGTAAACAGACTAGTCATAACCAGAGATATAAGTGATCTACCTAAAGCTCGACACATAATTATGTCACTCCCATTCATCCACTCAGCAAGTACTTACTGCTCACCCACTGGGAGACAGTGTGAACCGGACAGTCCCTGTCCCTGCCTTGATGGGGCTTCCAGTGGGCCTGCAGTCTAGCTGAGAAGACAAGCATTAACCAAGTATCAGTAGAGTGTTGTGAGTATTGATGTTCGGGCAAGATGAGGTGCTGAACGAACAGCTCGCAGGGGCACCCTACTCCAGCCAAAGAGTCAGGGACCATTTCCCCAAGGAAGTGATGTGTAAGTGGAGGCCCAAAAGGTGTGTAAGAGTTAGCCAGGCAGCAAGGGCAGAGAAACCAAGGGAATAACATATTTGAGGCCCCCTCAGAGGTACTAAAAGAATTTCTGTGTGGTCATGAATGTAGAATGGGGGTGAGGGGTGACAAGAGCAGGACCAGAGTATAGATAAGTAGTGTCCTGTGGTGTAGGCACAGTGGGATGTTGATGTGATTGACAGAAGCCAGCAGACATTAGTGGAGAAGGTAGACTTTGTTTAATGGTAAAGGATATAAAAAGTTGGCGAGACAGTCATTCAGATTTGGAAATACTGCTACACGTTACCAAATTTCTGTACAAGTTACCTGATTTCCCTGGAAGTGATACCACCAATACAGTAAGGATTTAATCAGGTGGGCAAAGCTCCCCTTGCCGTTCCTCTTGAGGTTTTCTCCCTGCCTGACCATTGTGAGTCTACACGCCTGCCCCTCAACAGGTGCAAGTCACAGCTGCAAAACATCCCTAATGTACTGAATATTTACTGTGAGGTGAGGAGAATCGCAGGTGAGAAGTACAGGAGCATTCCCCGGCTGGTCCAGCTTCAGACCCGCCCTAGGTCTCTTCCTGCAGGCCAGATTCTGTAAAGTGTGTGGACTTTGAAATGCCATGTGTCCACCAATTGGCCTTCATAACAAAGTGCAGTAGAGCCCTGGTACATATGTCACTTCAGGTCTTCAGGGAAGTTCATTTCGAGTTTTGGTTCTGTTATATAAAAATGAAAGTTTGTGTGTTCCAGTTTTTTTTTTTTTTTTAATTGTTGTGTTTTAAGTGAAAGTTTACAATTTAAGTTAGTCTCTCATACAAAAATTTCTACATACATTGTTCTGTGACCCTAATTGCTCTCCCTATACTGTGACAGCACACTCCTCCTTTCCACCCCGGATTTCCCATGTCCATTCAACCAGCTCCTGACCCTCTCTGCCTTCTCATCTCGCTTCCGGACAGGAACTGCCCATTTAGTCTCGTGTATCTACTTGAGCTAAGAAGCTGTGTGTTCCAGTTTTAATCTTGTCCCACGTATTTGCTTGTCATTCATTATTAGCTAAGAAGGATTTACTGGGACAGTGGTGGTGCAGTGGTAGAATTCTTGCCTTCCAACCCGGGAGACCTAGGTTTGTTTCCTGGCCAGTGAACCTCCACTGCAGCTACCACCTGTCTGTCATTGGAGGCTTGCAAGTTGCTATGATGCCGGATGGGTTTCAGGGGAGCTTCCAGACCAAGACAGACTAGGAAGAAAGGCCTGGCAGTCTACTTCCAAAAAAATCAGTCATTGAAAAACCGCTATGGATCACAATTTCCAATCCCGTTGCACATGGGGTCGCCAAGAATCAGGCCGACTCGACAACTAACGAAGGATTTCTATATAACTGTTTATATTAAGGCTTGCCAAGATTTCTGTTTATTAAAAATTTCCCCAGATTTATCATGGGATGAGTTAATCTGGGGGTAAAAAAAAAAAAACAAAAAAAACCATTGCCGGTACTAGCAGGAGAGAACCAAAAAAACCAAACCCGTTGCCATCGATTCCGACTCATAGCAACCCTATAGGACATAGGGTTTCCAAGAAGTGGCTGGTGAATTTGAACTGCTGACCTTTTGATTAGCAGCTGAGCTCTTAACCACTGTACCACCAGGGCTCCAATCTGGGAAATGAGGTACTTTTTTTTCTTTGAATAAGAAGGAACGAGGAGAAAATAAAGATGGGATACATGGGGGCTAGAAAGGAAGGAAAGTGTAAAGGAGCCTTGGTCTGATTTGTGCAGCAGGAGGGGAGATTATTTACTGAGATCTATTAGAACTGCAGACTTGAGAGGGGCAAGAAAAGTTTGAAACAGCTGCTGGGGAGAGTCGGCTCTCTGTCTTTGAGAGAGATGAATTCAGTGGACAGCCAAGCTACCAAGAAAGTGGGATACTGCCAGTGGGCCTCATTCCTTGTGTCTGATTCGCAAGGAACTTACCCTACAGTTTTAGATTCTTACAAGATCTCTAGAGGGGAAAAATCTCAAATGCAGTAACTATTATACTTGAACAGAAACATACTCTTTTTTTTTTTCCTTTGCAGACTATCTATTTAACTTTGCAACTGAGGCTACAAAAAAGATAACTGAATCAGCGGCCAAAACAGCACAAACAATAAAGAAATCAGTAGAAGAAGGAAAAATAGATGACCTCATTGATAAGGTATGTTTCAGTACCTTGTGGAAGTCGACATTTATGCAGTTCATTAGCTGCTAATATAATATCCCTTCTCCTTACGAGCTTTATTATTAGCCCAAGTACAAAGAATATTATTCTGATAAAAATATGAATTGTTGAGATTCTTGGGTTTTTTGGCTCTTTGTATAACAAGTGGCAGTGATCTAAATTACCTGATTTAAATAACTTTGGTTTTCTCTGAATATGTTCTAAAATATATTGAGTTACATTCAACTTTTCATATTGTGAGTTTAATTTTAAAATACAACTATTTCGAAATATACTTATGCCTTTGCATCAAGGTTAAGTTTTTCAAGTCCTAGCCCATTAAGAAGAACCCTGTTAAGACTCTAAGGAGTGAGTTCCTTTGTTGCAGTGGTGGTGAGTGGGTCTAACTTTCATTTGTATTCCTAATTACTTGGACTTAGGCCATCAATTGAACTTTAAATATATTGTTATTTAGATATTTTGTTATGTATACTATTTGTAAGCATGAGATTTGACCTGTCCTTTATTATTCTGCTAAGCAAAAGGTTGGCAGTTCGAATCCACCAGCTGCTCCTTGGAAACCCTATGGGGCAGTTGTATTCTGTCCTATAAGGTTGCTATGAGTTGGAATCAACTTGACTGCAACGGGTTTGTTTTTTTTGGGTTTTATTATTTTATGGAATAATGCAAAAATTAAATCTTAAGTCATTTATTTTTGCATTTGAAAAGATAATCCTTCATACGCGTAAAATTCAAAAATGTCAGAGATTCCCTTTTTTTGGAGAAACAGAGAAGTATCACTTTTTTAGCCTTCTTATTTAATGAAAATGAGTAAAATGCCTCAAATAGGCTTCTAAAATTTTGAATTTCTTATCTAACAGTAAATTTTTCCAAGTGATTTGATTCTTGATGTGTTTATTTTTTTAACAGACAATTATAGGAGATTTCCAAAAGGAACAGAAAAAATTTGTCCAGGAGCAACATACAAAAAAGTCAGGTATGGTATAGGTTTGTGTTACGTGACTTATCTAATCTGCCAAATTTTATTGTGTACTTTCTACATGTCAGGCACCACACTGAGGCTCTGAGAGTACAAAAATGTGTGAGAAACGGCCCCCATCTCTTGGGCAGCACAGAGACTGGTCAGGGAGACAAACCCACAAACGTTTTTGGTTTAAAGGAAGGGAGTTAAATTGTTCCTGCAACTGGGGTCAGCCAGTGCTGGCCCCTCTGGGGAGCTGGCTCTGAAAGAGCACCGGTAAGCTTTCATTCTCATGCCATGTGGAACGTGTTCCACTCAGTAGAGGATACTTACATACTAAAAAAAAAAAAAAACGAAAAAACTAAACCCATTGCCATCAAGTCGATTCCGACTCCCAGTGACCCTATAGGACAGAATAGAACTGCCCCATACAGTTTCCAAGGAGAGCCTGGTGGATTTGAACTGTTGACCTTTTGGTTAGCAGCTGTAGCTCTTAACCACTGCATCACCAGTGTTTCTACTTAAATACTAGTGCTTAGCAAATGTTGGCTCCCTCCCCATTCTCTTTAGGAGAGCCTTTCAGGGGAGTGACCAGGCAGTGACAGGCCCATGACAAATCATCGGGTGTTTGGGAAACTTATTCGCTACATTTACTTACTGACACAAGTGTGCCTGTTTAAATGCTTGCAGTTACAAGGCCTCAAAGTGCCTAATTTTACCGTTTGGTGGTGCTCAAACACAAAACCCAGCCTCATATCTTTGAATTTGGCAAAGGTCATGTAAAATAATGCAATCAGTTTGAGCTGTGCCACGAGCTACAGTTATTGTGGTAAGTTATCATAAGGCATTGTTGTACCTAAGTACACTCAACAGTGTGAAGCAGCTCTTTGGGACAAATAAACTATATGAGTTAACATGACTTAGTGAGTAACTGGAAGCAGTAAAATTGATCCTAGCTTGGGGACTTGGTGTAGGAGCTGGTGTCTCCAAGATAGGAACTATCGGAGAGTGATGTAAAAGGTTTGGAGGCAATTTCAGTTTTGAGGTGTCCATTAGACATCTGGGTGAGAGGAACATGCACAAAAGCAGACAAGAGAAAGCAGGTGGTATAGCAGGGGAACCTCCGGGTGTCTGAGATACTGTGGAACAGCTAGATCTGCACTGTCCAGTACAACAACCACTAGCCACATGTGGCTACTTAAGTTTAAATCAGTAAAATGAAAAATTCTCTTCCTCAGTCACACTAGCCACACTTCAAGTGCTCAATAGCCATCATCACAGAAAGTTCTGTTGGTCAGCACTGATGGAAATGAAATGAACAAGGTCCAGCACAGTTTATTCCCGTCTGAGGCGTGGAGAATTCTGTCTAGTGATGCTGGTTGTTAGCCAAGTCACGTAAAATCCACAACAGCAGGGGAGATCCTCTATGGGAAGGTGTCAAGCATGAAGAGAGATGTGAGAGATCCACAGCGTGTAGAGGAGAGGACGGGAGGGAGTTGGCAGTTACACAGTGCCTGCTGAGAGGCGGACACTTTTCCTACAATAGCTCATTTAATAAAAGGGAGACGATGCAATCAGCAAGGTTAGTGTTTGCAGAAGGTCACTCAGCTGATGAGTGAGGAAACTCAATTTGGCTTCAAAACCTGTGCCCATTTGCCCAAGTGAGAGGACACCTGAGGGGGAGAGCCCTGGAAGCCTGGAGAGGGCGACTTCCGAGGAGAGTGGGCCAGATCCAGAGAGAGCCAGTGATGGCAGCTCCCGGGAGTAAGGCACTGTGCCAAGTGCGTCATGTGCGTGAGTTCACTTAATCGTCACAGAAACTCTATGAAGTAATTACTTTTAGCTCCGTTTTCTAGATAAGGAAATTTTCTCAGAGAGAAAAGAACTGAGAAGTGTTTGTGGGTTTGGATAAGCAGGAGGCTACTGGTCACATGAAAAAGAGTAATTTCAGTGGAATGAGGGTAGGGGGCAGATTAGGAGCCACCATCTCCCCGCGAGTTCTAATCCTTACCTCCCTCAGCCTTGGGAGGCCTCGTAACCTGAGGGCATTTAGTACTAGGAGAGGCTAGGTAGGGTGAATCAGCCCTAAATGGAGATCAAAATGTTATAATAAATAATGTGAAAAAAAAGTCTAGGGTCAGCTATTACATTTTTTGTCATGTCTCTTGGCCTCATTTAATCTGGAACATTTCCACAGCCTTTCTTTGTCTTTTATGACATTCATGTTTTTGAAGAATGCTGCCACCCTCCCTTTTTTTAACAGAACATTTCCTCATTTGAGCTTCGTCTCCTATTTCCTTATGATTAGCTCAGGCTATCCATTGTTGGCCAGAAGACTCCCTGGTGATGTTGTGTCCCTGTCAGGGTCACATCTGGAGGCCCAGGATGCTCGCCGGTCCCTCATTGGTGATGTTAATTCAAATCACCTGGTCAAGGTGTTGGCTGGTTCTCCACTGTATAATTCAAGCAGAGTAATTTTTTATCAAATGCATAAGACTCAGAAATTAAGTCTAGGTATTGTGGTAAACCTTCATATTTGGAGCAGATTGTAGTGTAACCATCATCACCTGTTTTTCTCTTTGCCTCTTGCCATTAAAAACCTTCTAGAAGCAGCAGTGCCTCCATGGGTTGACAGTAATGATGAAGAAACAATTCAACAACAAATCTTGGCCTTGTCAGCTGTAAGTTTCTCATTGTGATACTGGTATAGAACATACTTTCTTCCTATCATGCTGCATCTATGTTGGCATGACTTTATCCTTAGCAGGATTTTTGTCTTCTGCGCAGTTTTTTTAATATTTTGAGATGTTAGGAACGTACACATAACTTTCACTAACTTTTAATTTGCTTATCCTAAAGTTCTTTTTTCTTGATGTGAAATTATAGCCTACCAGACGAAATAATTCTTTCAGCCCTAAAATGATTCTTCTGTGTTATTAAGATAAGCTTTTATCTTTAACATCTTACAGCATTCTGCTTCTGTATGAAACGACTATACTCTAATTTTTCTCTTTAACTGCTATATATATGTGTTTGTTTGAAACTGAAGTTGATTGAAATACAATTCCACATGCTGACCCACAAAAACTTACCTCAGGACTGACTTCAGAGGAAATGTAGCAATACTAATTAATAATTGTGTAGCACTTAACAATTTCCAAAAGCACTTTCTCATAGATTACCTTGTTTGAGCCTCACACAGGTCTGCAAGGAGGGTGCGGGGCTTTTATCCCCACTTCACGGGTGAGGGAGCCAAGACTCTCAAATGTTGTTTGACTCTTACTTCTTATCTGTGTTCTCCACTTGACTGTGAACTCTTAGAGGGCAAAGGCTGACTTTTATCTCATCATCCTCAGCACACAGGTTATAGATGACTGGATGAATATTCCACTGAGCTATCATTTTTACTTTTGACTATACTATCTTTTTAGTATATCAGTGGTGTCATGCATTGAATTATGTCCCCAAAAATGTATGTAGCAATTTGGCTGGGCCATGGTGCCCAGTATTATGTGGTTGCCCTCCATTTTGTGATTGTAATTTTATGTTAAAGAGGATTAGGGTGGGATTGTAACACCCTTACTAAGGTCACATCCCTGAGCCAATGTAAAGGGAGTTTCCCTGGAGTGTGGCCTGCACCACTTTTTATCTTACAAGAGATAAAGGGAAACAAGCTGAGAGTTGGGGACCTCATACCACCAAGAGAGCAGCACCAGGAGCAGAGTGCATCCTTTGGACCTGGGGTTCCTGCACAGAGAAGCTCCTAGTCCAGGGGAAGACTGATGACAAGGACCTTCCTCCAGATCCCACAGAGAGAGAAAGCCCTCTCCTGGAGCTGACGCCCTGAATTTGGACTTATAGCCTACTAGACTGTGAGAAAATAAATTTCTTGTTAAAGCCATCCACTTGTGGTATTTCTGTTAGAGCAGCACTAGATGACTAAGACAAGTGGTTTCCAAGCTTTTGGTTTTAACCCACTCTTTTTTTTTTTTTTTAAACCAGGCAAAATCATAAATGGAACCTCAGTATATAAAACAGATGTAAAACGGACTTCAGCTCCCTCCCATTGCCACCCCCTCCAAGAGCATTTTAAGGGTTTTTTTCTTTCTGTTTAGTAAAATCTTCATGGAACTGAGCATCCATTTCTGCACCTGTCTGAATACTGTGTATTTGTTTACCCTCTTATAGCCACACTTGACACTGGGGTCACTTATCCCGAGCAAAGACTTGAGGTAGTGAGAGTTGGTGTCAGTTGAGGGCCAACCTCAGATGCTCACCAGTCAAGTCCCCCGCAGCTCCTCTGCCCCCAGGCCTTTGCCCCCAGGCCTGTTCCTCTCCTACTCTCCTCCATCTCAGAATACAACTCCAGTTTTCCACTGATTTTTCTAGCCAGAAACCTAGGAGTCTCCCTCCAGTCGCGCCTCTCCCCCTACCTCCAGCCTGTTAGTATTTCCTGACAGTTCTGTTTTCAGAATACGGCTCCAGTCCGTTTCTGCCACCACTGTGGTCCTAGTCCCAGATCTCCTACCTGTGACCTCCTGACCGCTTTCCCATTCCAGTCCCTTGCCATTACAATGTTGTCTCAGCAGCCAGAGGGATCCATTGATGGTGTAAATCACTTCCTGTCACTCCCCTACATAGAATGTTCTAAAGATGGCTCAGCGCTCCTAGACTAAGCCCTACGCTCCCTCTTCTGGCTTCTAAGGCCCTTGGCGCTGCCACCTCTCCTCCCTGTGCCCGCTCCCCTGGCTCCAGCACTCCGCCCACACTGTTTCTTTGTTACACAACCAGGCCGAGCTTTGTTCTGCTTTTGGGGGCTTTTTCCTGGACCCTCCCCCCCTCCCCTGCATATTTCCCCACATCCGATCCTGGGGATGGCTGAGGACTCGTTCCGTTGTGCATGGGGTCGCCATGAGTCAGAGGCTGACTCGATGGCAGCTAACAATAACTCCCACAATTTTATCTCCTGGCCTCCCGAGAAGCTCTTTCCAGCTGAGATTCTTAGACGATACATGAAGGATCCATTTTTCTCAGGTCTCTATTAAGTGGACAGGTTAATGATAGCTCAGTGGACTTTGTGACTGAAGTCTTAGTCAAATCTTTGTCAAATCAGTGATAACACTGTTACATCGTAATTGCATTCTGTGGTTTTCACCCCATGTTTTTTCTTTTCTTCAAAGGACAAGAGGAATTTCCTGCGGGACCCCCCAGCTGGTGTGCAGTTCAGTTTTGACTTTGATCAGCTGTACCCGGTCGCCCTGGTCATGCTCCAAGAAGACGAGCTGCTGAGCAGGATGAGATTTGCCCTGGTTCCTAAACTGTGAGCTGGCGCGCCACCGCCCACAAGTGGACATGTGCATTTCCTGATGGCCTTGTTGATATGCTGTGTCACAGGAGTGTCATTGAACGAGGCCCAGATGGCCTCCGACTCTCTGTGCACAACAAGGGGCTCTGCCGCCCCAGCAGATTCCCAGCAGGGCCTCACAAAATCTAAACCGAGAGCAGGCTTCCCAGGACATTTGGGGCGGAGGTGAGACGTGCTCTTTTATCCCCAGTTAGAAGGGAGAACGCATGTTCCTACAGAAACCATAAATGTGCCCCGTGGCTTACTGAATAAAATTCAGGTAATTCAGGTGTACTGGGACTGTCACAGGCAGGCCCCCGCCTGTTCTCCACTCAGACTCGGCACCCAGCAGCAGTGTTCTCGGGCTGCCTGAGGCCCTTCTCCACTCAGAAAAACCCTGCTTGCCCTGTGAGCTCCAGCACAAGCAGAATGTTTTCTGTGGAGCAGCCCTGACGTGCCCATCCAGCAGAGGGCACCCTTCCTCTCTGCGACCACGGTGCTTTCATCCTTACACTATTTCCTCACCCATAGTCCAATCCCTTGTATTGAGTTTACCGTGTTTTTAAAGTCAGAGTTCTTTCTTACACTGTGGATGTCCCTCTTTCGTAGCACTCTGTTCTTGTTATATAGAGTTCCTGAGTGGCGCAACCGGTTAAGCACCCAACTACTAGCCAAAAGGGTGGCAGTTTGAACCCATCCAGAGGTGCTTTGGAAGACAGGCCCGGCAATCTTCCAAAAGGTCACAGCCTTGAAAACCCTATGGAGCAGTTCTGCTCTGAACACATGGGGTCACCATAATGTGAAATTAACTCATCAACAACTAACTACAGCAATTCTTGTTATATGGGGGCAGCAGTATCTTCCTGTTCTCTGAGGACATGAGTTGGAGTTTTCCTGAGATCATTCCTTTTCCTATGTGGTTTTCTCTGGATTTCTGTGTTTGTTTTGGGCTCTGTCTTTTAGGCTTTCTTCACCTGTCCTTCCAATTTAAAGGTGATATACAGAAGGGGTGCTTGGCAGCCATGCATATGGATAGGGTTTTTGGACTGGGTGAGTCCCTGGCTGGTGCAAACAGTTAAGTGCTCAGCTGCTAGTAGAAAGGTGGAAGGTTTGAGTCTACCCAGAGGTGCCTGAGAAGAAAGGCCTGGTGATCTACTCCTGAAAAACCAGCCATCAAAAACCCTGTGAAGCCCAGTTCTACTCTGATACACATGGGGTCGCCATAATTTGGAGTTGATGCCGCAGCAACTGGTTTTGAACTGGGACACTCAGTACCTGTGGGCCAGTAGCTTCCCCAGGGAGGACTCCTCAGCCTCCTGCCTGGGAGCCAAACGATGGGGAGAGCCTGGCCTGTCACCAGTCACTACAACACTGTATGTAGTACACATCACTAACAATACGATGGAACGTAACTTGAATACGTTGTAAGTCGGGAACTACCTGTACTTGAATATAATTCCAGTTTGTTACTGCTAATTTTTTTCAGGCATGATATAGAAATTATGGTTATTAATTCTTGTAAGTCATTATATGTTAGAAATGCTTCCTGAAGTATTGATGGATGAAAGGCTATGACAGCTGGCATTTGCCTTAAACTATTGCAGCCCCCACTCAAAAGAACGTGTGTGTGCAGGGCTGGGGAGAATGGATGGATGGAACAAGGTTGGCAGCGTGCTAATAATTGTCCAAGTGAGGTTGTGGGTACAAGGGGCTTCATTGTTCAGGTCTCCCCACTTTTGTCTTGTTGAAAATTTCCATAATAAAACAGAACAAAAAGGAGCCATTGCACACAAATATAGGACTTCTGGACTTTTCCTGTCTGGGCAGTCCCTGACACAGGGAAGCGCAACTTTGATAATTTGAGTCTGTTTTTGAACAGAAGCCATCGTTAACTAGGAACAATTTAGAAAACAAAATGAAGCAAAAAGCGCTTGCTCCATCTTTCCAACTGCACAGTAGTCGTTAGCGTGTCCCCGTGGACATGAGTGTTGGCTCTGAACGCCGTGCCGGAGCCGGGCCCTGCTGGTGAGGCCCTCTCTCTGCAGAGGGGAAAACAGCAAGTCCTTCCCACCCTGAGGCTGTGACGTTGGCCCAGTGTTTCCCCGAGGGTGGTCCCCGCATCCGAATTCCTTATAGAGTGCACAATAAACGTTTGGGAGTTGCTACGTCAAACAGACTTCTTTATTATAGGACTTCTCAGAGCCTTCAGCATGTCATCTGTATTGTGACTCCCCAGAGGGAAACACATTTCTGCAACATCAGAATGTGCCTCTATGACTTCTTCCTTACATTGAGAGCAAGAGACTGTGGAAAAGCAAACATCATCTGAATGTTTGTGTTTATCAATCAAGAAAGCAAGCATTGCCTACACTCCCTATAGCTCAGAGTTAAAAGGGGCCTTGAAGATCGGCAGGCAGCTCACTTCCTGCTGGGGAGGCCAGTTTCACTTTTGTATCGCTGTGCTTGTTATTAACGTTATTTCTTATGCTGCACCAAAATCTATAGCCTTGTACTGTCTTTTTGTCTGTCTTCTGGAGCAACACGGGATAAATCTGGTTCTAGTCCTTATGATAGCTTGTGGGGGGCAGGGGGTGGGATAAGACCCTTGAACTTATCAGGGCAAACAGCACCAGTTCCTTCACTTGGTCCCCAGGTGTCTTCATCTCTCTACCACCTCACCATCTGAGTTATTAACCTCTGAATACCCTTGGTTTTGTCATCGTGGTCATTAAATGAGTTCCCAGAAATGAGTATATGTTGTCCAGTCACCAAATAGCACATCAGATTGTGCACTTCTTACTACAGTATGCACTCCTTTGCTCTTTGAGCAACACAGCTAAAACTCATGCTTGCCAGGTCCCCCTCCTGCAGTACTACTTCCAAGAGATGGTATGAGAAAAAGAGTTCTACAGGCATAGAAGTTTTGGAAATGCTGCTTGGCATAGGTTAAGAACATAAAAAGCCAGAGGCTGTGATTCCTAGAACCATCTGTGACAGCAGACTACTTGCCTTACTCATCCCTGAGCCCCCAGGACCTAGCAAGGTCTTCCTGCATGTGGTGCTCAGTAAATGCTTGCGGAATAATAAACGAGAGAGGCGGGCTGCATCATGTTGTCTGACCTGGCGTACGGAGATCATCTTGCATTTTGCTTCTGTCACTTAAAAGCCAGCTTCCTCGCCCAGCTTCACCGTTTGCAGATGTGGTAATCATGCATTCTAACGTCTCCGTCTTTAAGGATAGTCTCCTGAGTGAGAAGCCCACATAGTATATTCTGTTTGTTCTCACTGATTTCTCCTCCTCCTTCAAAGTCTTTTTCTGTCATGCCTTCATCCTAGATGTCGCCCCATCCTAAGAACCTAGCGTCCTCTAGTCAACCGTGGGGCAGAGAGGCCTTCTCCCACTCTTTTGTCACCATGAGTCGGAATCGACTCAGTGACAGTGGGTTTGGTTTTTTGGTTTTGTCATTTCCACCAGCATAACATTTTTAGAACATAAAATTAGTGAGTCCTCCAGAAAAAAGAAAACACTGCACATACCCTGCAGCTCACCAGACCCGTACCTTGGGTGCCTCTCAGTTTGGTGGGTGTGCCTGTTTTGTCTGTGTAGGTTTTATGTTTTTATTTAAGTCTTGTTTTGTCTTCCACCTTTGAGATTTTTATTTAATTGCTCCAAGGTGAGCACAGCCATCCCTGTTTTTTATTTTTTTATTATTATTTTGAAACAATCACAAACTAACAAAAAAACTAGCAGTATGAAGAACTTTGTTCCTGAATCATTTGAGAGTAAATTGCTGACCAGTTGCCGCATCACCTCAAAATACTTCAGTGTGTATTTCCTGCAAGCAAGGCATTTTCTTATATAACCGTCTAAGTCAGGAAATTACCATTTATCCGTTGTTGTGTGCTGTCGAGTCAGTTCCGACTCATAGTAACCCCATATGACAGTAGCACTGCCCCATAGGGTTTTCTAGGCTGCAGTCTTCACAGGAGCAGATTGCCAGGTCTTTCTCCCTTGGAGCTGCTGGGTGGGGTCGAACCGCCAACCATTTGGTTAGCAGCCGAGTATGTCACCATTGTGCCACCAGGGCTCCTTCTTTATACATTATTAGCATCTAATTTCCAGACTGTATTCAAGTTGTCATTTCTCGCAATGATGTCCTTTTTTTAGCAAAAGGACCCAGTTCAGACTCACATGTTGCACTTAGTTCTGTAGTCTCTTCATTCTCCTTCGTGTGTTGTATCCTGTCTGGTGGCACATGCCGTCATTTTGCCCCATTGCTGTTCCCTTTGGTCACTTGATTAAGGTGGTGTCTGCCAGGCTTCTTGACTGTAAAGTTACTCTTTTCCTCTTTGAAATTAATAAGTACTTTGTGGGGAGGTACTTTGAAACTACATAAATATTCCATTCCTCATCAAACTTTCAATGTATTGATGCATTTATATCAATATGGACTCATGGGCCTATTTTATGCAGTAGGTTATAGTCCATTGCTATCATTATTTAGTTTGATGTTCAGTAAGATTTGGCCAATAGGAACCCACTCAGGCTGGTTTCTGTGTCCTTTTGACATGTCCCATCATTTTCTGAGGACTTCCTTGCTTTCTGGTACAAGATTCCCCATGGTCATCTTGTACTTTCCTTGCTCTAACCCTGGAATCAGCCATTTATCCAAGGAGCCCTGGTTCCTTTTAGTAGAAAATAGTATTTAGAAACCAAGATCTGGGTGCTAGGCCTGCTCATGACTATTCAGGTATCTATCACTACTCCTTGGCCCTCTCAGTGGACAGAGCTGGGAAATACGTGCCTATTGTGTACACATGTATACACTCAGTTGCATCTATATCGAACACCACGTGTTCACAGTGATACCTCATGACAGAAATCATTCTAGTGTTTTCCTTTTCTGTGTTTGTAACTCCCTTCTCCAACAGTGAGAAACCTTAATATGTTTACTTATTTGGTCAATTCCCCTGGATATAACCGATCTCCCATTTCCTCGGCCACCTCCTCCCCTGCTCAGACACCCTCCTCTCCCTGCTCGGGCTCTGGTTCCTGTTCCAGGCTACTCCCCTGTGTAGACAATTACCTTGTCCCACTTGGGCGCCAACACCCCACACCAGGTGATTCTAAGATGCAGCCAAGTGTGAGAAGCCCTGTAGAGTTCTCAGGTGGAACTGCACTTAAGTCTTTTTATTAACTATCTCCCATCTCGTTGTTAACTTTTATTGATTGCTGGTTATCAGAATGCTGCCAAACATTTCCTTTCGAAAGGAACAACATCCTTAATCCTTTCTTTTCACTGCTTGAAGGCATTTAATACACTAAACAGCAGTTGATTGCTGGAGGCCTGGCTCTACACCCCATCTCTCAAATTGATAATGTTGCTTTCTCAACAGTACCCTGTTTTCCTCTGCTTAGGGCAGAGCGTTGTTATTAAAATACCAAGACATGCTGAGGTTTCATTGGTTTTCTGTAAGTTGTCTTTTGCTGCTGTGGAGAAGATAACTCTCCTTTTTATCCTGCTATTCAGCTTTTCAATTCTAAAGCAAATGAGAATCTCGTTTGAACCTCACTCGGGTTTGAAAATACTCGTAACTGCCACCTATTCCACTTGCCTCTAAACAGATAACCCCTGTGTGTATTGGTTTGCATGCATTCTCAAATGGATTGTTGTCTCTCTCGCACAGTGTGAAGGAAGAAGTGTTTTGGAGGAACTACTTTTACCGCGTCTCCCTGATCAAGCAGTCGGCCCAGCTGACTGCCCTGGCCGCCCAGCAGCAGGCCGCAGGAAAGGGAGGGAGCAACGGCAGAGAAGGCGATTTGCCGCTGACAGGTACGTTCAGAGAAGAATACTTCACTTTGTGGAAAGAATTACTTCAAAATTGTTTAACTCAGCTTAGAGACTCTCAAGAGCTTGTCTTGTATATACCAGAAATGTCATCGTCTTGTGGAAAAATTTTCCTTTCCAGAGGAAATATTCATTTTTGTTGCCCTCTCTCTGACCCAGCTCACACACGTCTTCCCCAGGCTGTCCTTTACTTTGCGCTTTTCTCATTCCTTGGTTTTTATTATTACCCCGTTGATCGTCTCCCCCACATCTCTTTCCTTGCCCTTTACCACAGTGACTTTTCAGGCCTGCTCTCCTCCACTCTGCTTTACCACGTCCTCTTTGTTCTCTCTCTCTCTCCCACTAGGCCTGGTGTTTCCTGAATAAGTGTAGGCGGTAGAGCAGAACTAAACTCTGTTCCAATCCAAGCTACATGTCCCCAGCTCTGAGCTAGGCACTAGCAAACTAAACCTTTTGCTCGCTCTCATTGTGACAGTTTACCCTGGATTGTGGGAAAAGAGGTTTTATAATATTAGCAACGATTCAATACCTGTAATAATCATTGAAATAAGAAATGTGTTTTGTGTTGTTTTTAACGTTTAATGAGCACCTGCTGTGTATAGGTGTGTATAGGTACTAGTTACGACTGGAGGCTGGCCCCACAAGAAGTGGGGAGTGCAGGTTATGGAGTTTTAAATGATGAAGCAATACAGCAGTGTGTTGTAAGGTCCAGGTTGTACAGTCTTATTAGGACGTGATCTGCCACTGCGTGGAGGGCCAGGGAAATGTAATGAAGTTGTTGTACACATGAAAATTTGCCATTTTGTACAGAGATGTTAACACGAATCCCAGTTGTCTGTCAGTCTTTAGCATTGCTTTTTATTAGTTTACCGGAAAATGCCACTTGACCAAATCACGCCTGTGTAACAAAATAGACTTAAGACAGTATTCTGTAAAGACCATGTATCTAGTATGGCTAATAAAATAGAAAAGAGGGCCAGTGAGGAAGATGAGGATGCTAACTGTGCAGGGGTGCTCGGGCTGAGCATTAAATTTGACTTTGTGCTTTCTAGCCTCATGACAAAGGGGAAACTTGATAAATAAGTTAATTCTCATTATCCTAAAAGAAATCATACAACTATAATGATTTTCCTAGCACTGAAGTAAAAAAAGATTTCCTGCTTGAAATCTTATATAAAGGGCATTGAATATGATGATATATTAAACAGTATCCCTTAGAGTTAAGATGTTTTCACACAGCTAGTTCTGTTAAGAACTTTAGAAAAGCTGAAAGCATAACATAAAAGCTTATTTTGGAGAATTATTTACTATCATCATACTTGTGGGTATTTTAGCTGTTATAATATGTATTCAGAACTGAATCAAGCAATTATTGTCTCTTTTATTCTCACTTCTTAGAGGCAGTACGGCCCAAAACGCCACCTGTCGTAATCAAATCTCAGCTTAAAACTCAAGAGGTAATACAGCTTTACATTGTACCTAGCGGGTTGATGTCTAGAAGTGAAGTAAATCTGTGTTAGCTAACTCAGATGCCATTTAAAACGACTTAGGAGTACGGGTCTTATCTGTTGTGAATAGGAGGTATCCGGGGCTTGAATAGTCAAGACTCTACAGCTGAGACATGAGCCGATTTACTGGCATAAATAATTCTAGATGTGCTCACCAGGAATTAGATAGAATGATTCGAGTGATCTAAACTGAGTGAGAATAATAGACTCAGGTGGTAACTCACTCAGTTACCAAGCAACATGCGAGTTGGAAGGTTGAAGAGCAGTGATCCTTCTGTCTTACACCTCTCAGAGGAAGGAAATGAAAATGACGCTGCTTTAAATTGTGAGAGGACTATGACAAGAACTCTAGCACATAAATGTCACGTAGACAGCCGCTTCCAGAGCTCCTTTGTTGAATTCCAGGATGAGGAAGAGATTTCAACCAGCCCGGGTGTTTCCGAGTTTGTCAGCGATGCCTTCGATGCCTGTAACTTAAATCAGGAGGATCTGAGGAAAGAAATGGAGCAGCTCGTGCTTGACAAAAAGGAAGAGGAGACAACTGTGCTGGAAGGTAAAAAACCAAACCAAGCCAGAAAAACTGTTCTTGCCCCCAATTCCTAAGTTGATTGTAGAAAATTGTTATCCTGAAGCAAATATGCAAAAATAAGTTGTATAGGGGGCCCTGAGTTTCTATTAATGGTGGTGGAATAATTTGGAAATGGATAGTGGTGATAGTTGTACAACATGATGAACATCATCAATGTTACTGAATTGTACCTGTTAAAAATGTTGAATTAGCTCCTCACGGGAAGGTGGATTCCAGTCAACATGACCAGACCTCATGTCCTCTGCCCTAAGCATGAGCAGAAAAGGACCAAAGGGGTTTGGAGTCTGCTTTGACCTTAGCTCCTCTGGTGAAACCCTCTCCAGCCCCACCTCCATTGTCGAGGGGGAAACCAAGACCCAGGAGGTTAAGTGGGCTGCCCAAGGCCCCTCAGCTCCAAGGACATGTGGCCGGGGCAGGGTGAGATGTGTGTGCACCATCCCGGTGGAGAGGCTGCTCGCCAGCCTTCCATTCTAAAGGCTGGCATTTGCCTGGATTTATATGTGTGAGTAGAAGGTTCCTTTGCCGGCTGTTGTGGACAGCAAGAGCATCACTTAAATTACTAAAGTAATTTAAAAAGGAACCAAAGCAAGAGGGACACTGCTTTCTGTGGCACATCAGGGCAAGTTCCTGGCTTTCTGCTGATGGAAAGCAAATGTCCCTTAGTCCTCACCACACGAAGAGCGCGCCGTGAAGCCCTCTCAAGTGCGCAGTGCCTTCAAGAAGCCAGCTCTTCCCACGGTGGTGGAAAGAGCAGTGGTTCATTCAGCTAACTCCACCAGCTGGAGGTCCCACGAGAAAACTAGCCTCCCAAAGTTGAGCCTGAAGCCCATTTCCACACTGTGAGGGGACTCTGGAGGAGGGGATTCAGAAGAAAGGAGGAGCTGGCAGGGAAAAGGGAAGCAAGTGGGAAGTGTAAAACTGGGCTCTCCAGCCACATGTCTGTGGCTATCAAGCCATGTGGTCTTGGGTAAGTCACTTAATCTCTAAGCCTCCGTCCCCATGTCTACAAATGTGTGGAATAGTGGTATCTGGTCCATGGGATGTTCTAAGGATGAAAAGAGTGATATACAGAAAGCATTTGGCCCAGTGCCTAGCTCAGTATGTGCTCAATAAACGTTAGCTGTTTTTGCTACCATCATCATCATTGGTAGTGGTAAAAATTAACTTGCTACCAAATATTAATTATCAATTATTTAAATAGAAGGAAAAGCAGAGACCTGGGTAAAGCAAAATAACATCCAGAATTTACTGACGACATATAATACCTTTGCTTCTACACTAACAACAAATTTCTCTTTGGTCATTGTTAAAACTGGTTCCATTTTTCTGAGCATACATGGTGATGAAGTCTGATACGTTAAAAATCACAGGACTGACGTACGTAATTAAAGTTGACTGAAGTGTTAAGACCAGCATTATGAGTTCACAAAGAATCTTTTCCTTCTCATTTGTTTCTTTCAGATGATTCTGCAGATTGGGAAAAAGAGCTACAACAGGAACTTCAGGAATATGAGGTGGTGACAGAATCAGAGAAACGAGATGAAAACTGGGATAAGGAAATAGAGAAAATGCTTCAAGAGGAAAATTAGCTGTTGCTGAAATAAGCGAATAATCCCTAACATTCTAGGTGTCCAGACTCACTGAACCAGAAGGCAGAGAAGACTATAATTTGATTGAAATTCAGAATCGCTTCAGCCAGCATTATTCTTTTTTCAAGCTGAAACTTGCCTCTTCTACTTAAAAAGAAAACAAATCTATCTAGAACAGTTATCCTAATAATCAAAAAGGGATGTTTAACATAATATTTCTTTAATATAAATCTAGTTAGACATGTCCTTATAGTCGGTATGGGTATCTTTGTCACAGAAACACAAGTAAAATCTTAGAGCTCTGTTTTCTGTGAGGTCAAAAAATACAACAATTTATCCTTCAATCCTAGTTTTGTAAACATTTGTACTCCTTGTGATTTCTTTGATACGTGGACGTTAACATGCTGAATTGATTACTGTGAAAGTGACCAAATTAAACCAAAGAGCTTCAGAGGAAGTACTTTCAAAATTATTTTCTTGATAGTTTCTAAAATTCCATGTGGCAGCCAAAAGATAAAATAAGTATGTCAGTTTTAATGGTCTGAACATGACAATTTGACATTAAGAAATACTGTGCAAAAACACTTGTTTTTCTTTGGGGTTTTACTTTTTTTTTTTTTAAACTATACCACATTTAGTAATATTTCCTAAATTTCACGTCACGATTTTTGTAGAAAGCAGGGCCTTGCATCCTTTTTGTATTAAGGACCTTCAGAAGCCTGTCCACTTCAGTGTCTCTTGTTTAAATCATCACCACGTATAAATGTTTTAGCTTTGTTTATCTTAATTAAACGGTCAGTCTTTCTAAGGCTGTGTTCTTCTGAGTACAACAGATGGAGCTTTATTGATGAATCCTACTTGTATTCTGCTACACCAGCAGGCACGTGTTCATAGAATATGATGATTTTTAAAAGACCAAGGTGCTTAATGTCAGAAAACTTCTGAAGCATTTGCTTCTTGAACCTTATTTCTCTGGGAGCCTTTATTTCATAAAGGAGAATAGAATTCAGAAATTTATAAGAAAAATGTACGTATGCATATTCTTAGCCCCATAAAAATGAGTCTGTCCTCTGGGCCAAGATACAGTCAACAGGAGAACTGGGCCCAGGGCCAAGCATTGCTCTTCGGTTCAGTTACTCGTGTGTTCTATGAAACCACAGGCCCCGTTATCACGTGCTTCCACTTGCAGTACCACAGTTGGCCATTACTGAGTTTGGGTTTAGAGACGATGGTGACTGGCAACTTCTGAAATACTCCCATTGACGGGAAAAGTTGTTTTCATAGGGTTTCCTGGATGAAAAGAGACCTGTTAAATGTGCGTAAGTAGCTACAATTCCGGGCTGCAAACAGATCAGAACATGACAGTGCTGGGCACTGAGTATGTGACATTCTTACTGATGCATGTTGAAGGAACACAAGAGCTTCCAGAAAAAGGAACAAGCCTAAAATGACAGTTGAAATGCGGTACAGCTGTTACTAACAATTTTGCATGGTATGCGTTGCATTTAAAAACAACCTAATTGCCTACTGCCCCATGAAGATGAAAGTGAGCACAGATTTTACACAGACCATCAGAATATAATAATGCTGTATTTTCATGGAGTCATCCAGGAGTGAAATGTTCTGCTTTAGTAAATTATACAGGTAACTGAAGTGTGATTCCTTTATTAAAGGTCAAGATAATTTGTAACCATGTTGGGTGGGAAATTTCTAAGTATTTAGTACATGCCTGGGGGTTAGCCAACAAGATATATAAGCCTAAAAATATACAAGCCTTATAAAGTGAAACAACATATTTCATCACGCGATGGGTATTGTACCTTGCTACTCAGTGTGGCCTGGAAACCAGCAGCATCAGCAACCCTGAGAGCTGGTTAGAAATGCAGAGTCTTGGGCTGGCCCCAGACCTGCTGAATCAGTCTGCCTGTTAACAAGACCCCCATGAGACTGGAGTGGACATTTCGGTTTAAGAAGCACTGCTCTAATATACAAATGCTTTCCGGGCAGCTGAAGGTCTGGTGCTTTTTGCTTCTTACCCTTCCACGAAATGTCTTTGGATAACTGTTCTGCTAGTTGGTGTTACAGGTGTCTCCTCTGATGTTGCAGTTGTCACCTACTGCTGACTCCCCCTTGCCACCCTACCACAATTAAGATGGACTAAGTTTTTAGGGAGACAATGAATAAGCTTTTCTAAATCAGACATTTCTGATATTGCACTTTTCAAAGGAAAATGACTACAGGGGCTGCTTCTCTTCTAGGAGGTTCTTTGACAATCGTTTTGCATTGTTCGCCAGCTTTCACTTAAGTGATTGGGCTGGATCAGCTGATGTGACTTGAAGTCTGATGCTGGCTGCAGAGGTGGTACCCGTGTTTGCTGTACTTATACCCAGGAAGTCAACCAAATAATATTTGCGGTGACAGCAGCTTATAGCAAGCAAGTAAATCCTCAGCTGGCACTGCCAGTTGAGCCAAACGTTTTACTCCACTACAGCAAGCTCAGTTACAAGGTCAGATACTCCTTATACTCAAAAGTGATGACTTCTTACGCAAAGTGGGAAATCTCAATTTATACTTTTTTGAGAATTTAAAGTAGAGAAGCTTAGCTTTTCAGAGATAAAGCAGCATTTATACTCGGACTCAGTGATTTAAGATGCCCTATTATAACCAGGATAATTTTTCATAATAAAAATGGTTAAAACTCTATGGGGCAGTTCTACTGTGTCCCACGGGGTCACTCTGAGTCGGAATTGACTTGACGGCAATGGGTTACCAAAAAAAAAAAAAAACAAGATCACATCCAACTTGCGCTGTTTGATTTACCTCCTTCATTGCTTTTGGTATAAAAACCAGGGCTCTGAATGTGCTTCTGTAACTTAAATAATTTGATATGGTCACTCCTTCTGGTAATAGATTTTTTAAGTAAAGGTAAACATTTTTCAATTATGAAAACTAGATGCATTAAATTTTAGCAAAATTTTTTACGTTTTTAAAAATGGTGGAAATTTTGATATGGTTTATAATCAGTTTTCTTGTGAGAAAGATGGGCCCTTTTAATGAATGATTACTTCCACAGATTACATTGATATGAAGAAAATAAAATGACAAAATACATGTTAACAGTATAAAAAAAAAGATGTGCTTAGAAAATTAACAAGTCATGCTATGACCAATATATAGTCATGAAGCTTTAATCACATGCAGTTATATTTCTCTCAGATCATCAAATTATCTGGTTTTCACACTAAGGGATTTGTTTAGGTAAAACCATTTAGGATTTCAGTCATTAAGCTGATTTTTTAAACAGCATTTAATATCAACGCATCCCGATTTACTTCCAAAATGAAAAACTACATTACACTTTCTTCTAGCTAATAGATGTCACTTTTAGTGGGAAGGTATAAATTGTAATTTTTTTTCCTAAATAAAGATTCTATTCTAGTAAAAGAGGACCTCTAAATGTTTCAAAGTGATCTGGTATGTAGGCCCCCATTGTTAGAATTAAAACTGCCTTGAGATGATGTTGAGTTGTAAGAACACGTTTTACTTTAACTGTACCCTTCTCAAATTCAGTGGGTTCATAATAAATAAAAAAGATCATTCTAACCCACAGTCAGTAGGCCCTCTACTCTAAGGCTATTGTCGGGAGGTTCCCTACCCCAAGTTGTGTTGTTAGGTGCCCTCTAGTTGTTTCCGACTCACAGTGACCCTATACACTGCCCAGTCCTGAGCCATCCTCACAGTCGTTGCTATGTTTGAGCCCATTGTTGCAGCCACTGTGTCAATCCATCTCGTTGAGGGTCTTCCTATTTTTCGCCAACCCTCTACCAAGCATGATGTCCTTCTCCAGAGACTGGTTCCTCCTGATAACATGTCCAAACTACGTGAGACGAAGTCTTGACATCCCTGCTTCTAAGGAGCATTCTGGCTGTACTTCTTCCAAGACAAATGTTTGTTCTTCTGGCAATCCATGGTATATTCAATATTCTTCACCAACACCAGGTAGTGATCATATATATTGATCTATCTGCGTTCTTTCCTGAGAACCATGATGAGCAATGGCTATGCTTTCTGTTAGCTAGAGCTAAAACTCAGCAAAGTTAACCAGCTCTTTTAAAAATTAAGCCCATGACCTATAAAATAGAGCTAACAGATCAGGCTTTTGGGTGGCTGCTACTGAAGTATTCACACTTTAATCACGATGTGCATGTGTGTGTTGTGTTAGGTGCCATCAAGTCGGTTCTGACTCATAGTGACCCTATGTACAAAAGAATGAAACATTGCCGGGTCCCGGGCCATCCTCACAATTGTTGCTATGTTTGAGCCCATTGTTGTAGCCACTGCGTCAATCCATCTCGTCGAGGGTCTTCCTCTTTTATGCTGCCCATTAAGTAGGTAATATTATTCTCTGCCATTACTGCACTTAAACAATGCAAAACCCCTACTACAATGAAATGACCACTCGACAACTTCAAACTTCTGTGGACACTTACAGTAGGATATCAATGGCATATGGGCACTGAGCTATGAAATGCCTCTATGAAATGAGTGTAGCACAAGAATATGATATTTCTGCCACTGGCAAAATTAGCTAAAGTGTTTATTGTTAATCAAATTAAGAGAATACACGCTTGTGAAATTGAGTCATGCAAATAGACAATATTCAAAATCTGGACAAAACACAAAAGTAATTTCTAAAAAGGAATACGTGATGGACATCTTAATGTACATGTTACCAACGCTTTTATAAATGGACTGTCTTACGAGGTGCCTCTGGGTGGGTTTGAACCACCAACCTTTCAGTTAGTGTGGTTAGGTGCCATCGAGTCGATTCCAACTCATAGTGACCCATGTGTCACAGAGTAGAACCGCCCCATAGGGTTTTCTTGGCTATAATCTTCACGGGAGCAGATCGCTTAACCATTGCACCACCTAGGAGCCATGGAATCAGGGTAGAGAACAGCAAGTTCTGCCACAATCTAAAACTGATAATCAAAAATAGTGGTATATTATTGTGAGCTATGGAAGCAAATAGATTAAAGTGGCAAGCGTGTAAGATGGAGGTTCCTGAGAAGTGGGAATCAGGATGCAGAAGGGCAGTCGGGAGCCAGCTGTTGGAAAAGCCTTGTGTAATTTGATTTCTAAAATTAAATACATGCATCATTTAGATTAAAAAACAATACCTACTTTTGACGAGGGTATGGGGGGAAAGGCATGCAAACACTGTTGAAGGGAATGTAATTTGTAAAATCTTGAATGGCAATTGGGTAGTAGGGATCAAACTTTTAATTTGCAGAGCATTTAATCCAGCATTTCCACTGTTGGCATTTGTTCTAAGGAAGTCATTTTGATAAGCACTGCTTTGATGATAAAATAGAAAAATTGGAAACCACCTGCATGCCCTACACTAGAATTTCGATTTAAACAAAAGTGATGATTCTGCCATACAATGGAATATATACAAATATTTTAAATGGTAGATTTCACACCCACCAGATGGTCAAAAATTTAAGTCTGAAAATACCAAGAGTCTGTGAGTATATGATACAACGGGTACGTTGATATACTGCTATACAGTATATACACTTGTACAGTCAGGAAAAAGAAAATTGGCATTACTTAAATGAAAAGTTGAATATAGACTGTTCTTTGACCCGCAATTCCTGTCCTACCAAAACAAAACAAAACCGGTTGCCATCGAGTCGATTCCAACTCATAGCGACCCTATAGAACAGAGTAGAACTGCCCCATACGGTTTCCAAGGAGTGCCTGGTGGATTCAAACTGCCCACCTTTCTGTTAGCAGCTGTAGCTCATAACCACTGCGCCACCAGGGTTTCCAGTTACTGTCCTAGGGAGTATAAAATGGCATAAAGACTTATGGAAAAAAAAATAGCATTGCTTAGTAAAGTGGAAGATAAATATTATACCCTATGGCATGTGCACTGGTCGATGTGCAAGAATGTTCATAATAGCATTGTCTGAGTGGCCTTAAGGAGCCCTGGTGGTGCAGAGGTTAAGACCTCGGCTGCTAACAAAAAGGTCGACAGTTTGAATCCATCAGCCGCTCCTTGGAAACCCTATAGGACAATTCTACTCTATACTATAGGGTCGACTCGATGGCAGTGGGTTTGTTTTTTTTTTGAGTGGCCTCAAACTGCATCCAACCTTAATGTCCATCAACAGTAGAATGGAACTAGCACTACAATATGACACCCTAGTGAACAGCAAAGAACATGAAGAAACAACAGCTACACAGTAATCTCACAAATACAGTGCAAAAAAAAAAAAACAAAAGAACAGAATAACTATACAAAGACATCAAATACAAGTGCAATTAAACTACAAAGGATATTTAACTATCATAAAATTTAGGTACTATGTGAATTATAGGAAAAAATGAAACATAAGTCCTACTTGAAGGAAAGACAAGGTCTAATATTACATACAACAATATAGGCCTTGTATAAGCAAGACCTCAAAAAAATTGGTTTAAGTCTCAAGTTAGTCCCTCTCCACGGAAATCTTTAGTAAAAGGCGAAAGATTTATGCGATATGAAGAGAAACCAGAGTATACCACCCAGCTTGGAATGCCAACTGCCAGGTAGCTGCTACTCCTTGTACACTGAGGGTGGAAATTAAGCCCAATTCAAATACCTGCTGCAGCTCTTTCAATCAATTGTGTAAAGAAAAATCTCATTCTTTGAAATAATAGTTTTAAAGGAAACCATAAACTTTTTTAACTTGAATATCTATTGTTCGCAGTGCACTATGGTTATGCAAATGAGTACATGAGTCATCCCCTTGAACTTCACTCTGTAGCTCGGGGCAAAGCTGCAGCCTTCCTGGCAGGGGAAAAACCCAGTCCTCGTTCTACGGAGGAAGCTGATTGGATCTGTTGGGTTCATTGGGGCTCAGAGAGTGATTTCTTTTGGCTAAAGGATTTTGTTGGCTGCTTACAAAAATGATGTCAGAGTTCTATATTTGACATGAAAGAAGGTTCACAATATAATGTTAAATGAAAAACAAAGGGCAAGTTACAAAACTATATTGAATATAATTACACTTCGTTTTCTGAAAATGCACATGTTGTGTGTGTTGGACATGTATATTGTTGTAGGGGAAAAACATCACAAAGTTTAGTAAAACAAAAAGAAAGTTTTATTTGGCATATATTCAAAAAGGCAAAAGTGGGAAACCAACAAGCATGCGGCTAGAGCCGTGTCTGGGGGAGTTCAGAGACCATTACAGAATAGGCAAGAATGGGAAAACGAACAAGCATGTTGCCACAGCCTTGTCTGCCTGAGCCCAGGAACAGTTACAGAGTCATCAGTATATATTAACATTACAAATGGGCAAGGCCATTGAAAGCTTTGCCTTTTCACAGATTGGCTAGAAACTGTGATCCTACATTGTGAATTGTCTACCTTCACAACCATTGGTACGAGTTTCAGTAACGACAGTCAGGAGGGTCTTCATTGGTCCAACAAATCTCAATTCACTAAATGCTAATAGAAAAAGGTAAGAGTGAAAAGTCCTTTGTGTTGTTTGATTGGCTTTATGTGAAAGGTTCCCTAAAAGATACTTTCCAAGACTATTTTAGCTATTGTCTTTATACATTAGGGCCCAGTTGATGTGTCCTTGTGAGTCCTTGTGAGTCCTTGTGAGTGCTTGTGAGCCCTTGTGAGCCCAGCTCCAGCTGGGTCACATTCTCTATGCTCAAGGACAGGGAATAATAACTCCAATATTATTTCCTAAATCATTATGCATTAAAAAAAAAAAGACTGGAAGGCTTACACCAAAATGTTACTGGTACTTATGTCTGGTGGTTGAGATTACTTTTTTACTCTTTATTTTTGTCTAAGTTTTCAGAAATTTCTTCAAATGCATAGAGACCAAAGTTCATCAGTGGTTACCAGGGACTAGGAGGAGGAGGGAATGGGAGTTACTGCTGAAGGGCTGAGTTTCTGTTGGGGGGATGAAAACTTTGTTAAAAATAATCGAAACTCATCAAAATTTGAACATAAGGTTTATTCTGAGCAGTTATTCTATATGCACATAGGGAGACCATTTTGATTCCAGAAAAAGCAAGTGGCTCCAAGAAACTAGGTACAATGGGACTTATAAAGAGGAGAGGAGAGAGAAATAAAGAAGACCAACCATTGGCTAATCTTAACAAGACTGATTGAAACCTGCCCTCCCCCTTTTACTGAGATCAAGGGATAGCAGTTCAGGAGCCCCTTCACCTAGCCATATCTTTTGAAATTCAAATTTTGTAAGCCTGGCTCCCAACAGGAAAGATAGGATTTGCAATTTCTGGTGAAAGAAAAGTGCTGGCAGATTCATTTAGGTCTGAGATTTCTTTAAATATTTGGTTTCGTGAGCAAGAAAACCCCCGAATCAAAGCAAGATATCTGCTATCAGTTTCTCTCTTTGGCAACTTCTGGAAATGGATAGAGATGATGGTAGCACAATGTGGTGAATGTAATTAATGTCACTGAATTCTACACTCAAAAATAGGTAAAAATGGCAACTTTTTGCTATATTTTCACCGCAATAAAATTAATTTTTAAAAACAAAAACAATTATTAACTCAGACACAAAACAAAGTTGAACGAGAAAAGTAATGTATTCATAGGACACTATGACTAGGATATGAATAATATTCACATGGAAATAATAATGTAAAATAAAAAATGAACCCATTGCTGGCAAGTCCCTTCCGACTCATAGAGACCCTATAGGACGGAGTAGAACTTTCCCACAGTGCTTCCAAAGCTGTAATCTTTACAGAAGCGGACTGCCCCATCATTATCCCTTGGAGCAGCTGGTGGGTTCAAACCACTGACCTTTCTGTTAGCAGCCAAGCGCTTAACCACTGCACCACCAGGGCTCCATGTAAAAAGGATAATTAAATTAACAAAAACAAAATATAACTATATTGAGAGGGTGCTGATGGGCAATGAATGTGGTGTGCAAACACACGTGAAAAAGTATCAGACCTTCCTCCCCAGAAGCAACTCCACATATAATATATACTATGATTTAGGAAAGTCCAAAATCACAGTTGTCTAAACTGGATGCTTATTTCTATCTCACATCAATGAAATCCAGAAGAAGGTAGAGCAAGGCTCCACATAGTTGGGGACTTAGACTCCTTCCAATCCACTGCTGTGGAGTCGATTCTGACTCAGCGACCCTGTAGGGCAGAATAGAACTGCCCTGTCTTAGTCATCTAGTGCTGCTCTAACAGAAATAGCAGAAGTGGATGCCTTTAACAAAGAGAAATTCATTCTCTCACAGTCTAGGAGGCTAGATGTTCGAATTCAGGGTGCCAGCTCCAGGGGAAGGCTTTCTCTCTCTGTTGGCTCTGGGGGAAGGTCTTTGACATCAATCTTCCCCAGCTGAGGAGCTTCTCAGCACAGGGACCCCGGGTCCAAAGGACGCGCTATTCCCCTGGCTCTTGTTTCTTGGTGGTATGAGGTGCCGATGTTTCTCTGCTGGCTTTTCTCTTTTATATCTCAAAAGAGATTGACTCAACATACAACCTAATTTTGTAGATTGAGTCCTGCCGCATTAACATAACTGCCTCTAATCCTGCCTTGTTAACATCATAGAGGTAGGGTTTACATACAACACGTAGGAAAATCACATCAGATGACAAAATGGTGGACAATCACACAATACTGGGAATCATGGACTAGTTAAGTTGACACACTTTTGGGGGGGACACAATTCAATCCATAACGTGCCCCATAGGGTGAACCACCGACCTTGCAGTTAGCAGCAGAACACATAACCACTCCTCCACCAGGGTTCCTTCTCCAGGGCTCCTAGAATACTTACCTGCCTTCAACGGCCACAGGCTGGAGAAAAGGGAGAAGAGGCAAATGGTGCCACCTGCTGTCCTGTAAGGGGGTTTCCGGGAAGTAGCCACACCACTTTCCACTTGCACCACTTTGATCAGAAGGGGGCTGGAAAATACAGTCTTATTCTTGACACTCACGTGCCCAGCTAATGTTTGCAGTTTCTTTTACTAACGAAGAGGAACGAACTGATCTGAGAGTGGGAAGCTGGGGTTTCTACCATGATCTAAAAGTGAAGATCACAAAACAGCTTTTTAAAAAGCCTATTACTATAAAATATAAGGAGCCCTGGTGGCACAGAGGTTAAAGCGATCCACTGCTAACTGAAAGGTCAGCAATCCCAAACAACCAGCAGCTCCGCGGGAGATAGATGTGGCAGTCTGCTTCCGTAAAGATTTACAGCCATGCCGACTCATGGCGACCCCATGTGTATCGAAGTAGAACCGCACTCCATAGAGTTTTCAACGGCTGATTTTTTGGAAGTAGATCGCCAGGCCTTTCTTCCCAGGCACCTGTGGGTGGGCTTGAACCTCCAACCTTTCAGTTAGCAGCCGAGCACATTACTCTTTTGCACTACCCAGGGATTCCAAAGAACACAGAGAGGAAGTTTAATTAGGAATGATAAAGTATTGCAGTCACAACTAGCTGCCTTTCCAACTTCAATGATATTAATATATATATGATATCAGATATATATTATATACGATCACATATATAAACCAAAAAACCAAATGCATTGCTGTTGAGTCGATTCCGACTCATAGCAACACTATAGGACAGAGTAGAACTGCCCCATAGAGTTCCCAAGGCTGTAAATCCTTACAGAAGCAGACTGCCACATCCTTCTTCCGCGGAGTAGCTGGTGGGTTTGAACTACTGGCCTTTTGGTTAGTAGATGAGTGCTTAACCACTGGGCCACCAGGGCCCTAATCATATATATACGAATATATGTACTCAAAATATATTCTTGAGACAATAGGGTAAATTTGAAAATGGACTGGCTATTGGATAACACTAAGGAATTGTTAAAAAGTTAGCATTGATAATGACACTGTTGATTATGTCCCTCTGCCATTCTGACTGCTCAACCCCTCCCCTGGGACTTTCCTCCCAGGCCTCCCCATGATCCAGCCACTGATGAGAAAAGCCTGGCACAGCTGGGGGCCTCCAGAATCCCTCTAGCCGGAAGTTGAGCACCTGTTCTGAGCAGCTGTACTCATTGTTCAATATCTTTCATGTCACCTGTGCTGGTCATTATGCTTTTGTCTCTGAACTTCAAACCCACGCTTCCATGCTCTGCTTTGTGATACTGGGACTGGGACTCTGTAAACCTTTCTCCTTTGTGAGCGGTTCCCTGTGAGGCTCTGCCATTAGGGGGCGCTAGAGGGAGACTGGAAGGCACGGGGAGGAAGAAGGAACTTGTTCCTTCTGATTTGTTTCTCCGTTTTGTCAGCATGGAGAGCCCTAGTGTTGCAGCGGTTAAAGCGCTTGGCTGCCAACCAAAAGATCGGTGGTTTGAACCCACCAGCCACTCCACGGGAGAAAGATGTGTCAGTCTGCTTCCATAAAGATTACAGCCTTGGAAATCCTATGGGGCAGTTCTACCCTGTCCTATATGGTTGCTGGGAGTCGGAATCGACTTGACGGCAGTGGGTTTTTGTTTTTGTCAGCATAAACTCAGCAACTGGTCTTCACCAGGACACAGTTAG